TTGTTGTTTGTTAAGTTGTTGTTGTTGTTGTTGTTGTTGTTGTTGTTGTTGTTGTTGTTGTTGTTGTTGTTGTTGTTGTTGTTGTTGTTGTTGTTGTTGCTGTTGTTGTTGTTGTTGCTGTTGTTGTTGTTGTTGTTGTTGTTGGGTTGTTGTTGTTGTTGCTGTTGGGTTGTTGTTGTTGTTGTTGTTGTTGTTGTTGTTGTTGCTGTTGTTGTTGTTGCTGTTGTTGTTGTTGTTGCTTGCTGTTTGCTGTTGTTGTTGTTGTTGTTGTTGTTGTTGTTGTTGTTGCTTTCGTTGGGTTGTTGTTGTTGTTGGTTGTTGTTGTTGTTGCTGTTGTTGTTGTTGCTGTTGTTGTTGTTGTTGTTGTTGTTGTTGTTGTTGTTGTTGTTGTTGTTGTTGTTGTTGACTCACGTACCCGACACACATTCCTCCATGTACATAATTTTATACAAGCAAAAACGATACAAATAAAACCCCGGAGTTACTTAACTAATAACATCATGACAAGACAGTGTCGAGGGTGTCTTGACCTGACCCCTACCAGTACTGAACACGGATTTACTGAGGTCATTCTCTCTTGGCAGTCCCGCGACACTGGAAAACCGACCTTGTGTATAGGGCAGATAGAGTTGAGTGCGGTGAGGCCCTCCTAGACCTATAGATGAGGGGAGAAGATTGTGTTGTAGGGGGGTGGGGGGGTTAAGGGGAGGGGAGGGGAGGGGGGTAGTGGTGTAGTGCAGGGTCGTGGTCACAGTCGACCACACCATACACGAGGGAAGGTGATGGCTAGTGTACTGTGTAGGTCCTTTCTCTCTGTCTCTCGTATACACACACACGCCGTCCTGGCTACTCTACACGCTCCCCTAGTTGCTCAGTCACGAGGAAAGACGCCTACATTGTCACGGTGGAATGGCTACAGAGAAAGAGAGAGAAAGAGAGAGACATTAGTATTGCAGTAGTCGTAGTAATAGTAGTAGTAGTAGTAACGGGGGAGATAACAGTCCCCTAATACTATATAGAGAAAATACCCGTTGTTTCCAGTAGTCATATATTCAATAACACGACTCAATTGCCCTAAAACAGTTTACACAACATTGAACCAGACCAACGGGCGACAACACCTGCGGCGGACAACAACCACGAGGACTTTGTTTTTCCATCTTAAGTTACACGAAAAAATGGATTGTTGGATCAAATTGTAACTGAAATATACTTTATTTATACAGAATAATACAGATACAAAGTTAACAACAGCAACATTGACACGATAGAAGCTGTCGAGTGGCGGAGATCTCTTAAAGGTACAGTTGGGGACATTTCCGACAAGTGGAAAATTTTGTAATGTGTGAGGGTGAGGAAGGGTGATGGAGGGTGAGAAGGTGAGGTCCGTGATTCTTGACGTCATCCGCTCACCCTGTGGATGTCACCAGCTCTCGCTTACCAGGGTCACCAACCTAACACGTCAACTCAACATACCAGAGTCGGCAAACGTTAGTTATCTCACCCAAGTGGTTAAGCCAAGGTCAGCAAGTGTTAGTAGTAATCTCACCCAGGGGCTGAGGGTGGATACATTTGGAAAATATGCGGAATTTTCACCCCCCTTCTGGCCCTTTCCTTTACTTGAACCTCATGGCTAAACCTCACAGTTGAACCTCACAGTTGAACCTCACAGCTTAACCCTATAATTTTATCTTCGTGGCTTAATTCTTTGGTTTTCTTCACAGCTTAACCTTATAGCTTAACTTCACAACTCAACCTCACAGCTTAACCCTATAATTTTATCTTCGTGGCTTAATTCTTTGGTTTTCTTCACAGCTTAACCTTATAGCTTAACTTCACAACTCAACCTCACAAAATAACCTCAACTGAACCTCACACTTTAACCTCACAATTTAATCTTTCAACATAACTTCACAGCTCTTGAAAACACATTTGTGACTGGTACACCCAGAGAGTATAGACTCGTGAATCGGTAGCATTCACGAGCAAGGGGGAGACAGGGGCGGGTTATAGGAGGTGAGGGTGTTCGGGGCTAGAGGGATGGGGGAGGGTTAAGGAGTTACTTGTGCAGTTACAAAGCAATATTTATTAAGCAAGGTTATAAATAAGTAGGACAAAACACAAATTGTGCTTAGAATGTGTTACCGCTTCAAGTCTAAACAATTCTATGCATATTTAATGTTTTGTTTTTTTCTTGTGCAACTCTTACTTAATCTATCGGTGATAGGGGGGACAGGTTGTATTTTTTTTTTAATTCTGAATTTTGTCGCGGACAGCAGCTAGTTTATTGTGCCCCTAATACTCATCCTGTGAGCGGTAGCGCAAAAAGGATTACAGAGTAGAGGCCACAAAGGGTGTTTATCAGACCCCAGTGATTATGACATTATGGCACTGAATGTTAGAGTATTTCCAGTACATGGCTTAAGTCGGTACATAGAATTTTGATTAGGTACTATATGCACAGTGTGGATACAACCTTAGTATATCAGCTGTGTCATTGTATACACGTGTGCTTGGGTCTATCCCTATAAGGTTCTAGTTTTCTCAATCTAAGACGTAGTGTTGGAGTGTGTGGCCATATGTGTGGCCACACACTTTACATTTAGTTTTGTTCACATCTGCCTAAGGAACATACTGCCAGAGGTACTTATATCCTAACCTTAGTCTAGCGGTTACAACATCTTGTAATCTAGTGATCTTGTTACTTGCTCCATATACATGTTTTATTTGATGCATCTCATCGTGGTAAACAATGGATTGGCTTGTGCCTGTTTGCACTTGTCTACTGGCTTCAAATTCATCGGAAAGCTCTTTTCTGATTACAGTTTTTAAGGTTCTGTTTGACAGTCCTAGATTGTACTCAACATTGTCATTGTTGGACGCGAGTTTAGCTAAGGCATCAACTCTATCAAGTTCACTAATGCCTATGTGAGAGGTGATCCACAGCAACTTAATCCTGATACCCCGTCAACAAGACACATATGGTTGTGTCTGGCTTCAGAGACAAGCGGGTGACAATCTGAGGTTAGGGTATCAAGAGCAAGTAATGAGGATAAGGAGTCATTGATGATGAGACTGTCATGGTCTTCAACAAGTTTCAGGGTTGTGAGTATGGCAAATAGTTCAGTTTGTATAGTGGATGCCCAGTTACTAATTCTAGCTCGTTTCCTTATTACGTTACCGTTAGGTTGAGTCACAATGGCAGTACTTCCAGCCCTCCCACAGACAGTCTTGAGAGAGCCGTCAGTGTAGATGGTCTGCAGGTTATGTGTGTGGTCAGTTGTTTGGGCGGGTAGGTGAGTGTTGTGATATCGAAGGGAACTGTCCGCCAGGGTGGCAGGAAGCGCTGCTGTGTCTCAGCTTTGTACAGATGGTCTAGTCCAAACAGCCTCATGTGTGTAGCTGTAGTTTGGATCCAATTAGATTCACCATTTTCATGACTCATATATCCTACCAGTTTCTTAGAAGCAATGTTATCTGGATCACAACGCAAAAGCCTCAGGGCTATCATGAGGTTGACTTCAATTATTCTATCTTTAACACTGGGTATACCTAGTTCTTTCCTTATATTAAGTACTTAAATGCTCATGGGACAGCCTAAAATAATTCTAATGCCTTTATTTTGCATTTTCTCGAGCTTGTCAATGTCTTTCCCGTCACGAAGAACCTGGGCTGGTGTTGTAGTAATGTATCAGAGATCTTGTATAGCCCAGATATATTGTTTTGACAATTAGTGTATTATGTAGCGGGACAGGATGGAGTCGCTCAGTATGGTGTCCTTTTATGACGGGGTGACTTTCATGACCCAGTAAAAACGGATGTACTTGATTCTATTTCATTAACTATTTACAAAAGCATCTAATTGTTAATATAATGTAACTTACAAGAAAAACATACCCGGGAAGTTGACAAACTACGTTTATTATAAATAACATTAATGTGTTTATGGCAATAAGTCACTCAGCAGCAGTTCCACCTGTTGCTAGCATTTCGTGTTTGGTTGTAGTCTTTAGCCTCGTCCTTCATCAATTGTTAGATAAATGGTAGGTGTGCAGGTACCAGATGTAGTGCCATGGTGTGTGTACAGTATAGTGTGTAGTGGGAAGTTGGCGCCCGTCTGTCTGAGGAGTCGTAACAAAAAATACAGAAGGCACAGGATCTGTAATTGTTTGTTACGACTCCCCAGACGTCATGTGGCGTAAGTAGACAAATGTGAGAGTTAAGGCTCTGGGCGCGCTGGACAAATGATAAGAACATAAGAATGGCGGAAGCTGCAGCGGGCCTATTGGCCCATACTGGGCAGTCCCGTATACTCCCAACCCCTAGAGCTCATATATCCACCCAACCTATGTTTGAAGCTATCCAGCGTATTCGAGTTATTGATGATATTTGGTAACTTGTTCCACTCGTCCACTACTCTATTTCCAAACCAATATTTACCTATTTCACGCCTAAATCTAAATTTGTCGAATTTAAAACCATTGTTACGAGTTCGCTCCTGGTTGGATAGTTTGAGTACCTTTGTAATGTCTCCTTTGTTTAGCCCCGACTTCCACTTATACACCTCTATCAGGTCGCCCCTCGCTCTACGTCTCTCGAGGGAGTGCAAATTAAGGTGCATTAACCTGTCTCTATACTCAAGGTTCCTAATGCCCGGGATTAGTCTTGTCATTTTCCTCTGAATTCTTTCCAAGGATTCTATATCCATTCTGTAATACGGTGACCAGAACTGAACTGCGTAATCCAGGTGTGGTCTCACAAGAGCAAGATACAGTTTTAGGATGACCTTGCTAGTCTTGTAACTAACACTCCTTTGTATGAACCCAAGTACTTTATTAGCCTTGTTACGAGCAAAAACACATTGTTTACTTGGCTTAAGGTTCCTACTTATCATTACTCCTAAATCTCTCTCGCAGTCGGATTTCTCTATGGCATCGTTGTTCAAAGGTGGTTACTGTCCTGTAGGGTGTGGGTGTTGTGGGTGTTGTGGTTCATTGTGTTCATTTTTGGTTCAGCCGTTCATCTTGCTTTAGTAAGAAGTTCACCAAAGAGCGAACTTCGGTGTTGAACTGTTCCCGATGTTGCTGAACAGATTTTACGCTGGTTTTTGAGGGAGGTTTAGTGGAGATGAGCACCCAATTGTGCGTGCCCTTTGGCCGCACGTACATTTTGGTGGAAAATTCGGCCCAGTATTTATAAAAGGTTTTGACATCTTTTAATGGGGTGGAGCTTCGTTCAAAGCTTGGTGGTGGCAGCTTGCTGGTGTTTTGTTTGCATTTCATCTCCCAGAAAGAGATCTCTCGGAAGAGCTTCTGGAAAACGCTGTAAAACTTGGCGTTGGAGTCTGGGTGGCCGGAGTATGACTTACTTGAACGGTTTATTGACAGATTTACTGTCACTTGAGGTCTGCATACGAAAGTGGGCATTCGTTTGGGTGTCGTCTCCTGGGTCTCGGGGGTTGTGTCACTGGAGCCCCTGTCCAAGAAGTGACCATTGCGCAGCACTTCATAGGCATCTTGTAACTTTTGAAAAGTTTTTGTGGCCTTAGGGTCGTTGGGGTTCTTGTCTGGATGGCATTGTCGTGCCAGACGAAGGTAAGCCTGTCGGATCTCTGTTTCGGAAGCGTTAAAAGTAACTCCCAGTGTTTTCCAGGGGGAAGTCATTTTAAATTAAAGTTATCAAGTTGGTGTGACTTGAAGGTCAATTTGAAAAACGCCTTCCAAAATTATATTGAACCTAAAATTTCCAAATATAGTAAAGCGTCGTTCAGTTAGTGATAGTAGGATAGTTTGATGTAGTGAGAATAGTTTAATGTAGTGAGGATCGTTTTATGTATTTAGTGAGGATAGTTTGTTGTGTGTAGTGAGGATAGTTTGATGTGTGTACTGAGGATAGTTTGAAGTATGTAGTGAGGATAGTTTGTTGTGTGTAGGGAGGATAGTTTGATGTGTGTAGTGAGGATAGTTTGATGTATGTAGTGAGGATAGTTTGAAGTATGTAGTGAAGATAGTTTGAAGCATGTAGTGAGGATAGGTTGAAGTATGTAGTGAGGATAGTTTGAAGCATGTAATGAGGATAGCTTGAAGTGTGTGTAGTGAGGATAGCTTGAAGTGTGTGTAGTGAGGATAGCTTGAAGTGTGTAGTGAGGATAGCTTGAAGTGTGTAGTGAGGATAGCTTGAAGTGTGTGTAGTGAGGATAGCTTGAAGTGTGTGTAGTGAGGATAGCTTGAAGTGTGTGTAGTGAGGATAGCTTGAAGTGTGTGTAGTGAGGATAGCTTGAAGTGTGTGTAGTGAGGAGAGCTTGAAGTGTGTGTAGTGAGGAGAGCTTGAAGTGTGTGTAGTGAGGATAGCTTGAAGTGTGTGTAGTGAGGATAGCTTGAAGTGTGTGTAGTGAGGATAGCTTGAAGTGTGTGTAGTGAGGATAGCTTGAAGTGTGTGTAATGAGGAGACCTTGAAGTGTGTGTACATAAGAACATAAGAATGGAGGAAACTGCAGCGGGCCTATTGGCCCATACTGGGCAGTCCCGTTTACACCCAACCCTTATTGCTCATATAAGCATCCAACCTATGTTTGAAGCCATTCAGCGTATTCGAGTTAATGATGATATTTGGTAACTTGTTCCATTCATCCACTACTCTGTTTCCAAACCAGTGTTTACCTATTTCACGCCTAAATCTAAATTTGTCTAATTTAAAACCATTGTTACGAGTTCGCTCCTGGTTGGATAGTTTGAGTTCCTTTGTAATGTCCCCTTTGTTTAGCCCTGACTTCCATTTATACACCTCTATCATATCGCCTCTCACTCTACTTCTCTCGAAGGTGTGCAAATTACGATGCTTTAACCTGTCTCTGTACTCAAGGTTCCTAATGCCCGGGATTAGTCTTTTCATTCTCCTTTGAATTCTTTCCAAGGATTCTATATCCATTCTGTAATACGGTGACCAGAATTGAACTACATAATCCAAGTGAGGTCTCGCAAGTGCAAGATATAGTTTTAGGATGACCTCGCTAGTCTTGTAACTAACCCTCCTTTGTATGAACCCAAGTACTTTATTAGCTTTGTTTCGAGGGGACAGTTATCGTCAGACTGTTGTGTTAAGTAAGAAATACTTAATATCCGAATTATGAGTCTTTATGTTGGGTTGAAGTGCCATTGAGATAAATAAAATATTATTGCATTCTGTCCGCAATAGTACGTGAACATAAGTCATAATGTTAACTTTGGGCCAAACCCGCCGAGCCATGACGAAATGTGCCTTTGCTCGAGGAGAAATAGTCTTTATACGTGTTTTTTGTATGCTACAGCAATATACTATACCGTATTAATGGTGTAAATATGTGTGTGGTGATAAGAGGTGATGTTTCTCCCGTCACGTAAGTAATATTTGATAAACAGGTAGTAAACTCAGCGATTGGACAGAAATGCACTACACTAATGTCTGACACTTTGCTTGAGGATAAATAAGTTAGATGACTGAAAAGCGTCCATACTACATCTATTAATCTATGTAAACGTTGCCTTACCAGGTAAAGAGTCAAATTATATCATTGTGGTCCCAGGCTACTGCGTACACCTCGCGTCTCACCTAGTAACTTTACGCTCCGATACTCTCAGGGTTCACACCTCACAGAGAACATAAGAACAAAAGAATGGAGGAAACTGCAGCGGGCCTATTGGCCCATACTGGGCAGTCCCGTTTACACCCAACCCCTATTGCTCATATAAGCATCCAACCTATGTTTGAAGCTATTCAGCGTATTCGAGTTAATGATGATATTTGGTAACTTGTTCCATTCATCCACAACTCTGTTTCCAAACCAGTGTTTACCTATTTCACGCCTAAATCTAAATTTGTCTTATTTAAAACCATTGTTACGAGTTCGCTCCTGGTTGGATAGTTTGAGTACCTTTGTAATGTCCCCTTTGTTTAGCCCTGCCTTCCACTTATACACCTCTATCAGGTCGCCCCTCGCTCTACTCTCGAGGGAGTGCAAATTAAGATGCTTTAACCTGTCTCTATACTCAAGGTTCCTTTGCCCGGGATTAGTCTTGTCATTCTCCTCTGAATTCTTTCCAATGATTCTATATCCATTCTGTAATACAGTGACCAGAACTGAACTGCGTAATCCAGGTGTGGTCTCACAAGAGCAAGATACAGTTTTAGGATGACTCCTGTCGCGCCTAAATCTAAATTTGTCAATTTAAAACCATTGTTACGAGTTCGCTCCTGGTTGGATAGTTTGAGTACCCTTTGTAATGTCCCTTTGTTTAGCCCTGCCTTCCATATACACCTCTATCAGGTCGCCCTCGCTCTCCGTCTCTCAAGGAGTGCAAATTAAGATGCTTTAACCTGTCTCTATACTCAAGGTTCCTTTGCCCGGGATTAGTCTTGTCATTCTCCTCTGAATTCTTTCCAAGATTCTATATCCATTCTGTAATACGGTGACCAGAACTGAACTGCGTAATCCAGGTGTGGTCTCACAAGAGCAAGATACAGTTTTAGGATGACCTCGCTAGTCTTGTAACTACCACTCCTTTGTATGAACACAAGTACTTTATTAGCCTTGTTACGAGCAAAAACACATTGTTTACTTGGCTTAAGATTCCTACTTATCATTACTCCTAAATCTCTCTCGCAGTCGGATTTCTCTATGGCATCGTTGTTCATCTGGTATCTGGTGGATTGTCAACGCTGGGTGTACAAGTCAATAATGTCACCAACTGTACATGATTAAGCACTGTACAATTATCTCAAGAACAGTATTAAGTAACATTGATAAGTTACTTGGTGGTCACGTGGCTTGATGACTGAGTTGCTGCAGCTACAAGGGTGTAATCCATCCAGTGACGAGAGGAAAGAACAGTACTTCTGCGTATATCTCACACCTTCACCATGACTCATTTCCTCTATTCAGCCAAGATGACCCGGAATTTGTGTCGCCCGTTCTAAAGAGAAACACTGAACCCTATCATGTATATGATTATATTTCAGGCAAAAACTAAAACATTTCCATGAATTAACCTTTGAATTTTTGCCATGACGTTTTTGCTTGACCTCTTGCCATGACCTCTTGACCTGACCTGTCACCCTAAACTCTTGACCTGACCTCTTGACCTGACATCTTGACCTAACCTCTTACCCTGAACTCTTGCCCTGACCTCTTGCTCTAAACTCTTGACCTGACCTCTTGACCTAACCTCTTACCCTGAACTCTTGCCCTGACCTCTTGCTCTAAACTCTTGACTGACCTAACCTCTTACCCTGAACTCTTGCCCTGACCTCTTGCCCTGAACTCTTGACCTAACCTCTTACCCTGAACTCTTGTCCTGACCTCTTTCCCTGAACTCTTTACCTGACCTCTCACCCTGACCTCTTGACCTGACCTCTTAACATGACCTCTTGACATGACCCCTTGAGTGAGTTATAATGACCATAATTGGAAACAGCCACCTGATTTAACCTCCAACAAACATATTTTTTTTTTACTATCGTTCATTCCAGCTATAAAATAATTTCGTATTTAAACCTTTCCCTCAGCGAACTGTGTGCATCATTGTGGAGGGAATGAGGGGATGGGGAGGGGTTGTCTCACTAAACTGTGGTGGACAACATAGAAGTAAAACTATCACAGGAATAAAGAATAACAATAATGACGACGCACGACCGACCGGCCTACCACTGTAACCTCGTAATAAGGAAGGAGACTTTCATCTGGTTTTTAGAGGGTGGGATGGGATAGGTGGTATACCGGGATATGTGATTTATTGGAGTAGGTGATTTACTAGGGATAGGTAATTTACTAATGGTGGTGTACCGGGATAGGTGATCTACTGGGATAGGTGGTGTACGAGGATAGGTGAGTTACAGGAGATAGGTGATTTACGAGGGATAAGTGATGTACAGGGATAGGCGCGATTTACTGGGAAAGTTGGTGTATTATGGTAGACGATTTACAAGGATAGGCGATTTACTGGGGATAGATGATGTACCGGAATACATATTGTAGGGAATAAACAGTGTTACCTTTCATCCTTCCTATTCCTCCCTCCGATCTTCTGTCTCCTCCTACCCTTTCCATCCCCCATCCTTTCCACTTCCTCCTCCTCTTCCTGTTCTCTCTCTTCCTGTACTTACCACTCCTTTCCACTACGTCCCAACTCTTTCCGCCCTGCTGCTCCTCCTCGTCCGTCCCGTAATGCCTGGCAAGTGTTACGGTAACTGTTATGACCGGATTCCGTCGCCGGGTTTTACGGTAATGTTTCGGGTAAAGCGGTCAAGTCTCTCTCTCTCTCTCTCTCTCTCTCTCTCTCTCTCTCTCTCTCTCTCTCTTGTATATAAAAATCTCTCTTTAATTCATATTTTTAGGGAATTTTTTTTCTCGATAATCTCATTAATTGTTGGCCTCTCCCTCCTTCACCTACCTCCCTCCCTCCCCTCTCCCCCTCCTCCTCCTCCCTCCTCTCTCCCTCCTTTTATCCCTCCTCCCCTCCTCCTCCCCTCTCCCTCCCTCCTCTCTCTCCCTCCCCCTCCCTCCCCCCTCCTCCTTCATGTGTTTGAAGGTATATATTGATTCGCACCTGTCTGTCTGTCTGTCTGTCTGTCTGTTTATTATGTTTTTCTATGCCTGTCTGTCTTTCTGTGTGTCTGTTTTATCGTCCTC